TTGCACTAAGGTGATCGACCACCGAATGGTTATTTCATTTGTTTTGGGCGGACCTAACAGCGGTTTACCTTGACTTACCCAGCTCAAAGAACCAAACAAACTAAAACAATCACTATGCTTCTTGGCACTTCGAGTGGTCTTGTAATACACAGAATGAGACTTATTGTTTGGAAAAAACACAGCTTGAATCGAAGTAAACTATATAATCTGTGGATCATATCTTGTCACTTGACTGACACCAGTAACGGTTTCAAGAAACAAAATGGTACATACTATTGACTTAGGTGATTGACAAAAAACGTCTCAGGAACTGGGTGATGGCATGGTATTATTATTATTGTTGCTCCCTTGGGTTCCTAGTGGAACATAGGGCTTCAACTGCACGTCTCCACTTGCTTCTGTCTCCCTTCTGCTGTACTTTTCACCTACGTCCATGTTAGTCCATACTCTTTCAACTCCTCTTCACATGATCTCCTCCATGGCACCCTCGTACTAACGTCCCACTCCCCGCCGCTTCCCTTTCGGCCTGGTTCCACTCGAGCAGTGGCCTGACGCGCGCGCGATGACACCCAGCGGCCTCCTCATCCACGAGTGCCCAATCCATCTCCACTTTCCCCTGCATATTTGTTAGGCGATTGGTTCTTGTTTTGTTTGTTCCCACAGTTTCTTGTTGGTGATTCTTTTCGGCCCGGCCATCTGATCTTCAGTACAGAGTAAAGACAGTTGTTGATCAAGGTCTGGTCTGCAATAGCCTGTTGGAAATATTCTTTGTGACCCGCCCGCCCGCCAAGTTTCTGATCCGTATAGAAAAACTGACTGACTTGACGTTTGAATTGAAAATCCGAATTTTGTTGTTTATGCTGAGTGACGAAGATTTCCAGATTGGTTTCTCGCCTTCCCGATTTTCGATTTGACATCCTCTTCCGTCCTCGTCTACCTGTAGTTGAGACAATGCTCCCTAGATAAGTGAATGGATGAAGTGACCTGTTTCAAATCCCTCCCATTGATGGTGATTGGAGCTGGATGTTGCTATTGTTGGTTATTTTCATAACCTCCGTCTTGTCTATGTTCACCTGGAGTCCTGTCTTCGCCAGCTGCTTCTTCGACCAGTTTGTCGGTTTTCGCTTGTAAGTCTTCAATTTTGTGTGACATTGAGCATAAATCGTCCACGCGCGAAATTCAGGTCTTCTAGGTTCTTCGCATCAGTCCAGGATATCCCTGTTTTCTCGTTTCCCGTTGTCTGACGCATAATCCAGTCCACCACAATTAGGAATATCATTGGTGATAGTAAGCACCCTTGTCTGACTCCTGTGTTTATTCCAAGCACCTCGCTGAGTTTTCCGTTGTGAATGACTTGACATGTGCCGTTGTCGTACAGCTGTTGAATAAAGTTGATGAATATTTGGGGTACTGTACGCCGTAGTACTCGAGTAGTTTCCAAATCACTTCGCAGTCAACGCTAAGTGTCGAAGGCCTTCTCAAAGTCCATAAAGTTGAGGTAGAGGTTTGATTGCCATTGATGGGATGGTATGGTTTCACTATTTTCAGTTTTGAAAAGAAACAGTCGAGAAGGTTCATGGCATACTTTTCAATATTCATACGACTACGTTTCTTCCTTCTCTCTCATTTTGTGTCAAGTTCTTTGATTACTTCTCTGCAATATTTTAACAGTATAACTACACAAATCCTTCATCGTAGTTTATGGATAATTTGGTTGAAATCAAGGCACATTTTTTTATTTCACTGGGTTCACAAGAACTAATAAGTCTTTGATTGGACACTAAATGGTGTCATCGATAAGTCTTTACATTCTGCATATAAGCTGAGCTGAAACTCTCTCTCTCTCTTTCTCATGATACAGAATGGCAGCTTATTTCAAAAGCTTGACTAAAATATAAAATAAAGTATGGCTTTACTTACTTGAACATATCGTAATTATCATACCGTGTGACCATTATCCATGTACCACTATTTTCCAAAATGTAACAATATGTATCATTTTCTGACCACACATATCGAATCCTGAGGAGTTCTAATTGCAGGAAACTGATAAAGGACAAAAGATTCCCTATAATATTCATTATCATTTGATAGTCAACAGCAGTTAACTAGAAAGAATCATGTGAAATATACTACTAAAAAATTACTTGAAAAGAATTTTAAATTTCAACTTTGATAAAAGACATGTTGAAAAATACTCGCATTTATTTTGGTGATACGTTTTAGCATTAATGTCTGCACTTTATGAATCTAATACTTTAAAATTTCAGATATAATAACTCTTTCAGAAGTCTAAGTGATGGGGAGATATTCAATTTTCGTTTATATATAAAAATGGTGAATTCATATGTTGTTCTAAACTGTAACACTGGGTACTCATTAATGTCTGCTGAATTAAAATCCTTGATATAATGTTAAATATGGGAAACTATAAGACTAATGGGATGTTAATGTGTAGAAGCCAGAAGTATTATGTTTTTACTAATCTTTTCTTTATACTTTTAGTCAATATATTTCAACTCTGTTCCATTATTTCCTTTCTTGTATATAATATACGCAGCTAAGAGTACAGTGCAATATTAAATAATAAGCTTATGGATAAACTGATAGACTTTTGAGTTCTGAGGAAGAAGTGAAGACAGTAAACACTAATTCGCCCAGTGAAACTCCATTTGTAAAATATGTCGTCAGGGTATAAAAATGCAGTTAATTTTTTTTAGGTGAATCCAAAATATAAACTAAATCAATTCCAGAATAAAAAAACAGTTAGATTGACTTTACTTCTTCTGTGAGTATACAGCATACTGAACAGAGTGAGAACATAAAGTGTTGTTATTCGAAGAGTTTAAGATTAAATAAAGTATAATTATATTTTAATAGTTTACACATAATGATTAGTTTTGTTATTGGTAATATTTCGAGCAAAATTACTGCCCGTGTTCACACCACTGTTGGAATTGTTTTATTCACACATTTATGATTTTTACTCATATATATATAGTTCATTATTATTATTATTTTTTGCTCATTCATGTTATGTGTGTGCATTTGTGTGTTCAGAATTATACTCCACATTCATTCATGTGTTAGTATTTAGAATTATATTCCAAGTTTGTAAAAAATTAATATTTGTAAAATCTCAGCGATATTGAAATGAGTAATTCCAACGTTTCGTTTGGCAATCTGGTCCGAACTTCTTCAGGGAAATTAATCGAAATTAACATAACAGGTTTATATATAAAAGGAACATCTTTAGTTTGTAAAAACTTTGTCCAATCATGATTTATAAAACAAATATTAACAAGTATAATAAACAAAATTATACGAGTTGTGATCAAAATTTGACCTCAGACTTACAAATATTGATCTACCTTTGTTAAACACTTAAAACACAGTGTGTATGTGTGTGTGTGTGTGTCACCCTTGTTACATGTATCCGGTGTGACTTTAATGAATATCGATTCTGTTATGAGTCTTTCTTTCCATTTGTTCATGTTTGTTTTTGGAATACACACATTGTTCCAATCGATATTGTGGTTTTATTGTGTTTTTATCCCATAAAAATGATGGATAAAAACAATTTCATTTATAAAATATCTTGTGCTGACTGTCCGACTAAATATGTGGGCCAAACGTCCAGATCACTCGAAATAAGAGTGAATGAACATAAACGCCTAACTAAAGGTCAACCAACAGGGACACAAGCCTACAAAAATCTTGAAAAAAATTCATCGATAGCTGCACATGCATGGGACAAAAACCACAATATCGATTGGAACAGTGTGTGTATTCTAAAAACAAACTTGAACAAATGGAAAGAAAGACTCATAACAGAATCGATATTCATTAAAGTCACACCGGATACATGTAACAAGGGTGACTCAATACAACTATCAACAACATGGAATATAATTCTAAATACAAACACATGAATGAATGTGGAGTATAATTCTGAACACACATATATACACACAAAACATGAATGAGCAAAAAAATAATGAACTATATATTTGAGTAAAAATCATAAATGTGTGAATAAAACAATTCCAACAGTGGTGTGAACACGGGCAGTAATTTTGCTCGAAATATTACCAATAACAAAACTAATCATTATGTGTAAACTATTAAAATATAATTATACTTTATTTGATCTAATCCACAATGCTCAAACTTTTTACTGATATTAAGTTTAAGATTATTTTAGAATAACTTTGATATACTACATGTTGTATCCTAGAATTACTTTCATCATTTGCAAATTACCCAGTTGGAGGTAAGAATTTGTTTTAATTTCTTTTATACTACTAATTCTTGCATTAGAGAGCCTGAATTCAAGTAGTTTGGACTAAATCGGTTTCTTTCATCTGAGCCTTTCTTGTAATATAACTACTGGACTTGATCACAAAGGAATGAAATTATCTCTTAGTCTTTATTATTATAATGATCTGTTTGACATGATTGGTTTGAACTACTGATACCAAACAGTAGCATATGCTTTCGTGTTTTGTTATACTTAGATTATTAAAGATGGTAAATCTTAAACACTTGAATATCAGTAAACGTTGCCCATCAAACACTGGAGTTAATGTGCAGTAAAGTAGTCGTAGGAGAAGTATGTCCAAGCCTCTAGCTTGAAGCCTTATGTTCCACTGGGAACGTACAGGAATAAACAAAGTAGAAGTGGTTATGGTACTTTAGTAGAGCTCTGAGAAGTGATAGGTTCTTTTTGTCATATAAAACAGGAACTTGTTTAACTGGAAAAGGAAAACAGTGGTAATGTGATATTTTCCACAATACACGTAATATTGACGATAACTATGTCATACCTCATGCAAAAGAGTAAAGCTACAAACTCGTATCGAGGCTAGACATATTCATATCTCTGAAAATTTTGTGCAACACAAACAATCCATTCACATCTACTGCCTGTAATTAGTTTTCCCATTAATGGAAAACAGTATTATTAAAAATTTGACTCTTATTTTTCATTTTTCCCATAGGTAACAATTCAATTTTGCGACCAATTTTCTGCAATAAAAAAAATCCACTCATAAAGTATAATTTGTTAGCAAATACAGAGCAAGAATCTTTTGGAAAATATCGAATTTTTCGTAAAAGTGTGAAAGTTTCAGTCAAATTTACAAAAAATTCCCTAGGCCAAGATATATTCAATATTCTCGTGACAGGTCAGTTCTACGGCATATTTTTATTGAATTTCTTTGTAGTTTTGAGGGTTTATAAGTTAAGTGATTTTTATGTTTCTTATTCCAATAAGATAAGATTTCTGTGAAGTTTTTCTTCATTGACCTCAGTTTATATATATATATATATATATATATATATATATATATATACTGAAATTTATATGCAAATACAAAAGTTCTGTCAACTTGTATTACCCTTGTCTTGTCTTCCTTTTTCAATGAATGAATGTTCATACTGTTTTTCCCAGTTAAACTAAAAGTATTAGTGGTCATAGAGAAGATATTTTTACTGGACAGACGATATAGTCCTTCTAGGCGAAGACGCTGACGAAATGCAGAGTCTTCTAAACACCTTGAGCCGCAATCTACGAATGTTTGGCATGCGATTCGCTCCCGCCGAATGCAAGATGATGTTACAGGACTGGACTACATCGACGCCTAGTTTAAAAATAGGAAGCGAAGTGGTAGAGCACGTTGACCACTTCACTTATTTGGGAAGTACCATCAGCCCCAACGGGTTCATCCCTGACAAAATCTCAGCACGAATACAGGGGCTCGTTTCGCATTTGCCAGTTAACGCCGACTCGCGTAGACGAGATGTTCGACTATCGACCAAAGGGCGGGTGTACTGCTCATCAGTCCGCTCCGTCCTCCTTTATGGTTGTGAGACCTGGCCACTGAGAGTGGAAGACATGAAAAGACTATCTGTCTTTGATCATAGGTGCCTGCGCTCTATTTCCCGTGTAAAGTGGCATAATAAGGTGAGCAACATTGAGGTTAGGCGTCGAGTTCTAGGTAAACAGGGGAAATCAATCGACGAGGCTATGAAGTTACATAGACTGAGATGGTTAGGACATGTGTTACGTATGCCAAGCCATCGCCTCCCTCGACGAGCAATGTTAGCGGATATAGGGTCAGGCTGGAAAAAAGCTAGCGGCGGTCAAACAGAAACTTGCCACCAGTCAATGAAATCCACAACAGTTGGTCTAAGCCACGTAGGAAGGTGTAGACTTCCAGGCTGGGGTCCTCGGGACGGTAAAAATCTATGGTTGGAAACAATTGGTGACATGGCTCAAAATCGTTCTCAGTGGCGCAGATGCATCCACTCCTTGTGACATATGATCTCCAATGAAACTGTTTTGTTTTTCTTTATTACTCCTTTGTCTCACACCTCTACTCACTGTTTCTATTATGCTTTTCTTGTACTTTCTTCTCTTGCTTCGCGTGCTACACGGAGTGTGGCGACTTGAACTTGCGCACATTTGTGCAAAGTTCTATGTCGAAAACAGACAGACAGACAGACTGGACAGAACTCCAGGTGAACATAAACAAAACGGAGATGATCAGCATCAGCCAGCATCAACAAGGAAGATTTGACAGAGGTTGCCTCCTTTCACTTATCCAGGAAGCATCGTTTCAACTACAGGCGGTACGGATGAAGATGTCAAAACCAGTCAGAATCGGAAAGTCAAGACATGACTTCATCAACCTGAAATCAAATTGGAAATCTTCCGCACTCATCATGAGGAACAAGATTTGCGTTTTCCACAACAATGTAAAGTCAGTCACTGCTTTTATACAGGTAAGAATCTTGGCGTGTGACGAAAAAGATTTCCAACAGGTTGCAGACTTTCATCAACAGCTTCCCCTCTTCGTTGGCTCCATAGTGCAGTTCAAATAGCCAGAAAGGATTAGTGACAAGGAACAATCGTAACAAACCAACCAAGAGACGATCGCTCAGTAAACATAAAGGAGAAAATAGAGATGGACTGGGCATGCATTAAGGAGGCCGTCGAGTGAAATCGCGCACATTGCAGGCCATTGCTCCAGTGAATCCCAATGGGAGGCGACGAGTGGGTCTTCAGTGCGAGGGTGACATGGTGAAGATCGTGTGAGGAAGAGATGAAAGAATTTTGGCAATCGTGGACCCAGCTGAAGAGGACAGTGGAAAATAGAAGAAAGTGGGGATGTGTTGTTGAAGCCCTAGGTTTTACTCGGAACCCAAATAAACAATAATAATAATAATAAATAATATATAAACAGGTCAAATATGATTAAGACATTTATTTTTTGAATATAACTAGGTTATATGTAATTTCGATTAATTTCCTTGAAAAAGTAAGGACAAGTTTGCTAGACGAAACTTTGGGATTACTCATTTTGATTTTACAAATATAATTTTTAAATATGTCTATATCTCACTCGGCGCCAAATTATTTTGGAATTATTCTGTCAAATCTTGACCACATTTCATATAAATAACTAGGTTATAGTGATAATTCTTTGATTTCATCATCTCAATATTGACTTTTCACAAACACATTAACAAATTACATTGTAGAAATTCATTTCAGTTCATCCTTTTAACCGTTTTGATAAATTTAGTTTTTTTACTGTTTGAAAAGTTTATTGTATTTAGTCACGAAAAGTTAAGTGATAATTTTGAAAAGAAGCAGAACAAGCAATTAAATAAAAGTCAGCAGGAAAACGCATTGACCTTTTAATGTTCACGTATTTTTCCCAAAAAGAAGCAAAGATGTGAAATTACAGCATTGAATACATTGGATAGCTAGAAGTATATGCAGCAAGTGAGACTGAGTGTGATACATATATATGTATATGTATCTTGTTAGAGTGAAGTTCCTCGAAAAATTAAGTGACAAATTTGTCGTTACGGTGGTAAAAAAATTATTTACAGTCACGTAATCTGATAAGAGAAGATCAAAACTTGGTCTGCTAGAGGTCAGATGCAATGATAAGGTCAAGAAAAATAATCCCTTATGGACGTCAAATTGAAAGAAGCAAGGATTGAAAATATAAGTTACTGTAATTGGAAGACGAAGAATTACCAAGGGACAACAGAAAAGGGTCACACTAAAGCTGAAATGAATTTGGCTTCATCATTATTCCAGTATTGACTAACTAAAGTCCCTATTTTATGGTCTTGGGAAAGTTATTTGCTTAAATATTTTACTTCGATCCATGAGCAAAAAATACGAATCTCTGTTAGTATTTCATTTTTTTTTTATAATAATATTACTGTCTTCATTCAGACTTTATGTTTGTTTCTTAAGATTCATTATGCCACAGTTTTGTTGGCCACTTAAAGAGACGCCATTTTTTCCACTACAGATTCGTTCCCTTAAATGGGCCTTTCATTTTTGCTAGAGAGGATAATCGTCATATAGTGTTGATTAATTCAGCGTCCCAATTAATCTGAATTTCCCTTTTTTCAATTGAGCTTTATTTTATAGGGTTTCATGAGCATAAGAATCCATTTTATATTTAATTAAGTACCAAAAAGTATTTATTTATTATTATTCCTTCAGGTTCTTATCGGAAAGCTTATTCCCGTACCTTTCACCTGGTTCCAGAGGTATCCATAAGTTTTCATTTCTTTTTCACATGATCTCACAATCAGGACAATAGGCTCTTAATTTCTTTTTTGTCAACCTCCATTGTCAATCATTCTTTCTGACCATCTGATCCTCAGTATGCAGCAAAAGCAGCTTTTGGTTTATAAAGCACGCACCACGCTATTGTATGTGCTTTTAGTGATGCACACACCAAGTTTCTAAACCACATAAAATCACTGACCTGACATTGGTGTTGAAAATAATAATTTTCTTCTTCATGGCGATTGCAGTAGGTTTCCACTCTGATTTCAGAGTAATGAAGGTGCTTCTTGCCTTTCGTATCCTAACTTTGACATCCCCATCTACGACGTGAGTAGTTTAAACGATGCTGCTCAGATGAGGTAAATGAAAGAGGTAACTTGGTTTATATTTCTCCTGTTGGCAGTGATTGACGTATGTTACTAATTAGGTGTTTCCATCACCTCTGTCTTCGCTATGTTCACTTGAAATACTATTCTCGTTACTTCTGCCAACATTTTGATCTTACCCTGTAGATCTTCAAGTCTGGCATTGATCATTCACGCTATTCAGATTTCCCAGAGTCTTATTCTTCGTCCAAAATTTACCTGTCTTTTTCCTTCCCCTGAATGACTGAATAAATCTTAACAGATATTTAAGAGACAACAGCTTTGTATCATGCCACTTGAGCATAAAAATTCAATAAATGACCCTTAAAAATCTCCCCTAAATAGACAGTAATTCAAAGGTATTGTTAGCAAGCCATCTCAATTATTAGTTCATCTTCCCTGAAATGAATAATAAAAAATATCACCAGATTTTTGAAAATTATTTAACTTTATGCTGCAGTGGTGTACATGTAATCAGTTACATATAGGAAATTAATGTCTCATCTAGGGCATTTGAACTTTCTTTTCATTCAAGTTAAAGTTTCATAAGAACAAGAGATGTTAATTTTCTTAAGCGAAAAGTTCTACTTATACTCATAATGACATTAACATAATGGATGACACTTTAGCAGATTTTCGGTGTCCGTATGTTTCAGGAATGATACCCTGATAACTTGACATTTAAAAATAAAATACTCTGATGTGTTGGCGATTATTTTAGTGTAAAATTATAGATATTGTAATATTTATTTCTGTCTCAGTTTCTTAGATTTATTTCGGTGAAGCTTTCTTTTAAAATATTGTTTGATTTAATATACAACTTTTCATCAATTTACTCACCCAATGATCAAATTTTTAGAGCTGAATTAACAGCAAACATTTTACCTTCATTTCCAATGGGTAAAAATTAATTTCACTTTTGCCGTTGTCAAACATTAGTTCTAGTTTTCACACATATAGTAATCAGTCGAATTTCATTGACACGACTCTTAATGATAAAATACTATTTGGCGTGATAATGCTGTTAATGGACAACAGGATAAACGATTAAAAATTCTCTGTCTGTCATCTGTCTATGATTGAACTTTTACTATTTTTAAGTAAAATTAGTAACCACAAAGCTCTGCATTCATATTTCAACAATTTATATCTTCAAACATGATAAATATTGAGTTCACTACAGCCTAAGAACCACGGATCATTACTTTATAATACATAT